TCGGAGAAGAGCGCCGTAACTTCTCCGCTGTCTCACAAGAAAACAGGATCTATTTTCTAGGCGACTCGATAAGATTAAATGATTAAGATGAAAAATGGATATGTATTTTGCCTTTTTAATTGTCATTTTTGGGTTCTTCAAAAAATACAGCGAATCCTCATGACAGCTCATTTATCTTTTCCTTTCGAAGAAATGGAGGAAGTTGAAAAAGATTTGTGGAATTTATGGACTACGAAAAAAATTTTTGCATTTGTGTTTTCTCTATTTCTCTTTTATTGTTCGAATTTATTTATCAGATTCACTTTCTTTATTTTATTTTACTTTTTTTTATTTTTTCCTGCTAACCTTTTAACTTTTCTTATTGCGTTTTTTCTCCTTTCTTCTCTTTTTCGTTATTCAAGAAAGTACATCTTTTCTATTAAAAAAAAACCAATGAGGTCATTGATGTGGAAGATGCACACCTCTCGAATGGGCGTTCGAACATAGTCCTTTTTGATCATGTAGAGAAATGACGTCCATCCTTTCTCTTTTCACACCATTGTTCTTCTTTTCTATTCCACCAGTCGTTACTTAATGACTTAAAAATTTATTATGCAACCTGCGGTGTCTTGGTCGATCGTTCGACGTCGCCGTCATCTTTCGAAACTGTCGACAACCGTCTGCTTGTGATGAAAGTCTCGGAGGCCGTGGCGCGCAAATAAACAAGTTCTTGTCTCGGTACCGATGAAAATTATGGGACTGTAATTTTATATGTTGTAAACGTGGAATCTAAAAATTACAATAGCACCGAATAGAGACGGATGCAATGGGTCACATTGTGCTACGTCGCATCGGGAAAAAGAGTGAAATTCAAGTCACGCGAACGCGAACAACTGATGTCCAATGCTGAAGAAAAAGTTTCTGTAGGCCGTGCGATGCAAATGAGTCTGGTCGAGACGTCCTGGGAATGAACTTAAGATTCGAGACGCGGCCTTAAGAAATTAAGGTTCCGCCGAGAGACCAGACGGAAAGTCGAGGTGATTGGGGTGCCGGTGTATCCGCCGACTGTCTAGCCGCTGTCTGCAACGTGTAATAAATGCCTCCGAGCCGTACCGTGCTTCTGTAGGTCACTGACCATCGTCCATTGGCCCGTGTCGGCACCCGGAAGAGTTCGCCGGGAACCTGGAGGTGAAAATTCTCAAGCTGATAGACACGCCGCCGCACTAGATTCATAGAGCGAAATGATCTTTTCTAGACTGCAAAATCCAAATCTTCTAAAATACAAATACAAAAAATTTTTCGAAAACGCCAATTAAATGTGTCCAAAAACATTTTAATAGTTAAAAATTTTAAGACATTTTTAAAACGTTTCTCTGCAACGTTTATTTAAATATTTCTAGAATCTTAGGTTTTTTTTAAGGTTGAGTAAATTATTCTGTCTCTCTTGAAAAAGCTTACCACTTACTTTAAATTTTATTGTTTTACAGAGAGAAAGAACAACCTTCTTCTTTTTTTCCTCTTTTTCTTCTTCTTTTTCTTCTTTTTCTTCTTCTTCTTTTTCTTCTTCTTCTTCCTCTTCTCTGTAAAGTAATCTCTTTGTAAAGCATCAATTATATAAACGACCTTCTGAAACTTCTAAATATTTTGCCTCAGGTTCTCGCATTTTATTATCTTTTTAAAATAATCTTACATTATTCTTATCTTTTTGAAAAAAATTTTTTATGTAAGATTGATATAATAAAGATGATTTTTTATTAACGTTTTAAAATTGGTGTGCTTCGTATCATTAAAGATTTAAAAGCTTGGCGTGATATGTCACCTTTTATTTAAGTATTCCGTGCAACCTAATAAACTTTGATCTGTCTGTGCAGCCAGAGCCAGAAAAAGGCGATCGAAGATATTAAATCGAGAATTCTTGCGATAACTGGGAGATTCAACCTTAGCACCAATACCAATCAGGTTCAACGCGAGAGACTTGCTATGTTTTCGCCTGTTTGTAAGTAATTTAATAATTCATTTTTTTCTGACGTTTCAAAAAAAGAAGCTGCATTCGCGCGGAAAGCAGGCTATTAGCGCTATCGTATTATTCTATTCTTATTTCATGTCTAATGAACGATGATGATGGAATGACTCAATAACGCTGATAGCGCTCTCTCCGAATGCAATCATGGTAACATATTAAGGATGTTGCTTATTAGATCAAATACTCGATTCATTATGTAGGTCACATACCTCGAAACACGGATTCTGAGGCATGGATAGATCCGTTTTTGATGAACATGCACTTTCAATTAAATCTTACTTCTGACGATTACGTTGTCGCTGCGAGATTGCGACTTCACGTATTTCCGCAGAAAAACGTCACAACTTCCGACTATCGGCTTTCGAACCCCTTCGATGAGGAAGAAGATGATGAGAAGAAAATCAGGGTGTCCGTTTATTATTATACCAAATCGCTGAAGAAGCATCGATGTGAGTATTTAATCGTTTAATAATGGGCATTTGATAATAAATGGGTGTAGCTAAGATATTTTGTTTAAAGGGACGGGACAAATTAGAATTAAGACCTTTGAACGTAGGGAAAGGAAGGATAATCGAGTTAGTGTGGACTATTGAATTTGTTTTGTTTTATATTATTATTTTTAATTAATTACAAGGTAAATAATAATCATACATATTTAATTTACTAATTTATTTTATTCTCTCTTAAAATTGTGGTTCTGCAACTGGTTCTTCAAACTAGAAAAAAACTTAAATTTATAATATTAGTTGTCTTGAATTTTTAAAAAATCTTTCTATAATTTTCACCTTCAATTCTTTTTCCTTTTTCAAAATTAATTTTTTGTGAATATCAAGCAAAGTCTGTTTAAGCGCTTTTAATTTTGTTCTTTTTTAAGATTTAGGGGCATAACCCCTTGCCCTCTTTGGCTACGCCAATGATTTAACAAATTGCTAAATTTACCTATGAATATTTAAAGAATTTAGAGAATTGCTATTTCTGCAGCAAAAAAACGACTGATGGACTCTGTCGTGACGCCTCTGAATGCCGAAGGCGCTCATTTGGCGCTAGATGTCAGACAAGGCCTGAGATTCTGGCGACCGAGTCCGCGAAATCCACATGGCAACGGTAACAATCACGGTTTGGTGGTTCAGATAGAGGACCAGGATGGCCGGCCGCTAAAACCGGCTCTGTACATCCAACAATCGTCCTGCGTAGACCACGATTTCGATGAGAAGGCATGTGAGTGTGTGGTCTAACAATACTAACTTCCGTTTGAGTCTTAGATTGAGCCTTGGCATATTTTTGCGTGAGACTAAACAACGAGTATAGTAACACTTGAAACAAAAGTGAATTAATAATGTAATGTGTATTAAAATTGAAATTCATAAATTATTGATACCAGTTTGAATGATAAATAGAGATTTTTAAATTATTTTTCGTTAATTGCACATCTGACCAAAATGCATTTAAATTATTTATGATTTAGCAGTAGTAATTGATAATTAATGATCTAATAATTTAATTAAGAGAAAAATGGAAAATAAAATAAATTCTGAAATCGCAAAAATTCATATTTTAATAAATTTTAAATATGTGCGTGTGCGTGTGCAGTGTGTGCGCGCGCGCGCGCGCGTGTGTGTGTGTGTGTCTTTTAATTAATCCATTTTGAATCTCGATAATTTTAAATTCTTATTATAGAATATTTTCTTTTTTTTCTCTCTCTACAGACCAACGCATACCTACACTTTTCGTCCGAGCCTGCCATCGTTATGTTCGCATCGTAAATGATAAAAAAGACACGTACGTAAACTGTAGGCATTGATGACAAATTTCACTTGATCAGAAAGCGAAAAGATTTATTTCAAAATAAAAAAGATCGACTTAAACTATATTGTGTTATCATCATTATTTAGAAATACTTGCCATTAAAGAAAATTTGCACTTTTATTGTATAAACTTAGAGTCTTATAGAGAAATATCCATCTAGAAATTATATAAGAGTGAATCCTAAGTACTGGACCTTAAATTAAGAAATTTCACTTCAAATGTTCAAAAAATTTAATGATTGAATAATACATTATACATAAACAAACATATAAATATAGAAATCCAATTTAAGTGAAAGGTCTGTTAAGCATTGCTTTTACGAGAAACATTTTCACTGATTGCTTATCTTTTTCAATTGTTCAACATTTGTTTGAAAAAATGCAAGTTTGGCTTTAAATAAATAATAATAGTTTGATTGTAAAAAATTGATATAGTTTGTAAGAATTCTTTATATAGACTGTTTACTATTAACTTAAAGAAGAATTATTTAA